CCATTCCACTCACTATATGCCTAGGTACTGTGCTAGTAATATCTCATTACCTATTCAAATTTATGCAAACATCACACACTATTGGCATGCATGTGGCATTCCACTCACTATATGCTTAGATACAGTGCTAGTAATATCTTGTGCTGTTCACTATATGCCTAGGTATGATGCTAGTAATATCACGTTATTATTCAGATTTAATATATTTTGGAATGTCATATTAAGCAGTGTTGGGGAAATGAAATAGTCTTTAGTTCATTGGTCAGTTTTCCATTATCACACATTAAGTTAATGATAATGATTTTGTTGACCATATTTTCAAACAACCAATTTAATTTACGGTTAAAAACTGACTGCAGTTAATACTCACTAGAATCATACCTACCCCGGTATTATTCACCTATAAATAAGATTTATAAGAAAAATAATACCGGTAAACAAAAATTCACAATATAACTGGTTTGTTATGGTTTGCTGGCAATAGTTCATAAAATAAAGTTTGAAAACTTTCTTTTCAGATGGTGCCTGATTTGGCAGACTTCAAAATTATTTACAATAATAAGCCATTTTACATATTTGAATTATTGCTACGATACGAGGAATGCAGATTTTTGACACTTACTCCTTGCGTAATTTGGGAAGCGTTTCATCGTCTCCATCACCATAGTACGGGTCATCCGAGTCCATCCAATCTGTCCAACACAGACCTTTCCTGATGGCTGAAAAAGGTAAAAGTTTGAAATAATTATACAACTGTATAAGAGGAGACAAGTATCCACACTTAGAAAACTCTTAATACTGAACTGTGGTTTCTAGAATACAGGAAAATTTGTACAAACTATAGAAAGTTGAGCAAGCAATGAGTTCCGATGAAGCAGATTACAGGAAACACATAATTTATGCAATACCGATAGTGTAAAAAATCTGAAGAGGTTGATCTTTTCGATGAAATGACTAAAAAAGCTATCCTGAACCAAATACTGTAAAATGACTAATTTTCACTGGATTTAAATTTCACTGATTTACCATCTCAGGCATATTCAGTGGGTTTTAAATTCACGGTTTTGTCATTTAGATAATGTGTTCTATGCTAAATTTTACATATTCACTGTGTTTTAATTTAGCGCATTTTTCCAGTCAGCGAAATAAGCTAAATTAAAACCCAGTGAATAATTACCCCCTTTACAGTATTAAACTGCCGAAAAGACCCTACAACTAGCTATGTCATTCCATCATTTTATTATCAAAGAAGTTTTTGGCTTAGGTTTCTGAAAACAAAAAATCTTTCCATTTTATTCTACACCTCAGGTGACACACGCCAGCTGACTGTTAGTGCTATAGCCACATGTAATAGGCATACGGGCTGGCAGCTATGTGTAAGGATGTAGCATGTAATTTGTTCTTTTTTCCTTCGATTTTAAATCCCACTCTGATTAGTGCACTCATAGAGGAAACATTGTGATGAGTGCACGTCACCAAGTCAACGTAATCCGATAAAACAATCCGATAAAACAATCCGATAAAACAGCATATGAATCAGACTGTATGTCACAATGCATATCTGATGTGAACCACTGTCTAAAATGCGACAGTCACATTGGATTAGGTCTCAGAGAAATTGTGTGCAGTAAGTCCTATAAAATGAACACTAAGTAATTGCTACACGTAACAAACGCACATACTTATTGTAGTACATTCATTCATTTTCCTAACATTAAGTTCATCAGTAACTTACATTGACAGTACTTTCCAGTGTAGCCAGGCTGACACTGGCAGACATCGGGATTAATACATCTTCCATTATTCTGACATTGTGAATTACAAATAGCTGTTACAAAAGATAAAAATAAATAAACAAACAAACAAACAAATAAACAAACAAACAAACAAATAAATAAACACACTATGTTTTAATAATGTAATCGTTTAAAATGTTTGATAATCCCTGATTTCAGAAAATTAAGCAAAACTAACAATAGAGTAATTTTGCAATTTTCCTTGACTCATGAATGTTGATCAAATTAATTGTCAGGAATGTGTGTTAATTACGTTCAATATGAAAACAAAAGCATCTTCAAATAAAAACATGTTTTACTGCCCATTTATTAAACACTTTTAATTAACACATATTTAAAATTAAGTCTGTTCCTTTCGCCCCCTTTTTTATTATAGTTCTTGTCACATTGTTTCATCATTGACTTTTTCTCTAATCAGTGTATAGAAATAACATGATTATCACAAATATGTTTGTGACATTTTTTTGAGTTACATCTGCTCTTGTATAACAATATGTAATCTATTCACAAAATACCAAATAACTACCCGGTACATTTTCCTACAAGAAATTCTCAGACAACTGATTTAAATATATATTTTATTGTTATACTGCGAAAATGTATTTACCGCTCTTCAATCTTTTTTGGTTGCAATATTTGGGAATTAAAAGTCAATGTATTTATATTTGATGCCTCGTAAAATTGAATGAAATACACAAAAAATGTTCCTTCTTTAACAATTTAACAAATATTGTATATTGTATGTATTTCAAATCTAAAATTTATATAGTTTATTATTTACTGTAAAATCTGTATTAGAAGCTGCGGCTTCTATTAAAATGATAGAATGCAACAGAGGGGATGCGGCTTCTATTAGAGCATCTACACATATGAGAAATGGTGAATTTTTGATTCTCAATTATTCAAAAATAATGGGTGCGACTTCTATTAGGGATGCGGCTTCTAATACAGATTTTACGGTATATGATGTCATTGTCAGGTCGTATCCATCCACAGTTGTATATGTTGTATTGTCGACAATATTTATATGTATTTCTCCATCATCGAACTTTCAGTTCATTCCATCAATGTGGCATCTCATTTCCAAGGGCAAGGGCAAGCTGATGGGGGCCAGGACAGGTGCAGTCCCCAGTCTTGGACTCTCTTTCCAGCGCAGAGGAATATACTTACAAAGGGCATGCTTATTCACTTCGTGGTTCGTTGAAGTAGACATGTCTCCCCATTTCCTTGACTCGTTTAGCTGACTAAATCCGAGCATAACATACCCCAATTTGCATTTCTCGAATGTTTTGAACGCGCGTAATATACATGGGTATACATACTTGAAGACGCCGCGCAGTTTCATCAGTTCGATCGTTGTGTCAGCTGTCTTGGTGATAATACTGAGTGATTGATTGATGCAAGACTAGTGCAGAGAAGTACATTTGAATATACCAGAGCAACTTACGCGAACTTTATTGTTTCAAATATTGCCATGCCGTGTTGACTGAGCGCTTCGTAACTGATAAATTAAAACCGAACGCTAGCGTGGATTGCGCCCTCTCACACGATCACTCAAGAGGGCGCAATTCAAATAAAATGAAATGTCGGCGTAGATTGCAATATAATCTACACATAATCTCATTTTGTTTTAAAATCATGAGAAGCGATTAAAATCAATCTTAATTATCCCAGCCCGAGAGCGTCAAATAAATTATGAATTACAAAAAGTGGTTGTATACATTTGACTTACGTGTTGGGCATCCCCTTTCGATCGACCCAGTCCACCCGGGGCAACATTTCTGCGATGAACTGAAATTAAAAAATTATCAAAAACAGCCTGAGTATTCAAAAAAACAAGCCTTCTATATATTCCATATTCCATATGAAAATTACATTCTTATATAAAAAAAAATGAATTAGGCATATAAACGTTATGTATTCTGAAATATTCTGAAATAAAACATAATACATGTACTTAGATGGAAGATTCATGGAAGAAAAAAAATATTAATAAAGTATGTCGATACTTACTATCCCCATTCTGTCGTAAAGGTACAAACACGCTCGCTCCTGTAAAAATAGATTTATAATCTAAATTATTTAAAGTTTTAAATTAAAGCATTCATGTCAAAGTTTTGAGAAATTATGATAATGTTTGATATCATTTACGTGAAAACGATATGCTACGTAATATAAAATGACTGTGTTTGTTCGTGTAGTCTATTGTCGTCAAAAATCCATCAAAACATAATTGTTCATTGATGAACGATCACAGAGCAAAACAATCATGCCGACACTGATACTCTTCTTTTCACCCAGGATGTAACGTCTCTGGGGGGCGCGCTTCAGATAAGAGACGCTGAATCGTCCACAGGGAGAGGAAAGGTGCTACCTCACTCGTAGTAAGAAATTGAAATGCACAATTGCTCTGATTTGTTCTGTTTGTTGATAACAAAAATTCAAAACACCAGGGTACAATAATAACGCATGATGTCAAATAACGTATCTTCACAGGCGTGAACAAGTCAGTGGGACAACTGGGACGAAGTTCGAATACGAAGAGTCGGGTCCGGAGTCATATTATGCTATACTATGTATTCACAATTGGTTGCAAATTATCTTTATTTGTTATTCGTATTTGTTATTGATTTGTTTTATATTTTTAGAATTGTTTTTTTTTTGTTTTGTTTTTTAGATTATAGTTTTTAAATTTCTTTTTGTAAGACCCTTTTTCATCCTTTCCTAAGGATTTTATGCGTCGAATGAATATTATTATTATTATTCGCCTGGCATGATGACTTGATCCAAATTTCCCTTGTAAATTTCTTTCAAGTAGTGTTTAATAAAGTGTACGAGTACCTGCATTGCAATTGGTACAGCTTGACCGATTCGTGACCGCTGACCTTACCGACAGAAATCAAATCAATCATAATACTGTGGTAATCTATAACAATTGTATTAACACAATCTTCTAAAAATCTCACCGCTCTATTTATGATTTAACTATCATACTCCAAATAAAAGAACACCGCGCCACAATTCGACAAGGACGTTCTCCGCTTTAAAATCAAGTTGAAATCAACGGAACCAACAATGAACAGGGACCCTGCCCGGGGGTCCCTACAAAATATAAGAACGTCGTGCGAATATCAATGACAGTTCTGAACAAACAAAAAATACAATTTAGACCCAATATTTTCGAAATACCAATAAATAGAACCACTTAATGTTAGTTCAGTTCAGATAACTGATGGAACTGAACTTGGACTCGTTCAATTAGAACAGACTGAACTTTGCCTCAGTGGCGGATCCAGCAAAATGTATTGGGGGGGGCGGCGGTCCAAGCTTCGCTTAAAATTTACGGAGCGTAAATCGCAGAGAAGCTATGCGTAATCCAGATGATATGAATAATTGCCAGGACCAAATAGCAGGGTAACTACAGGCAGTAGATTATAAAAACCAGGATATAGAAAAATAATAATAAAACAAAATTTAATATTACTACAAAAGCATAATTAAGAATTATCACAAAACTGACACATTCTTCCTCAGAATTTTTAATAAACAAATTAATAAATAATTATCACAATTACCACTGCCTGAAATAAAAATGCCGCTGCAATGTCAACATACTGGTAATAATTAATAACATTGTGACTTTTTAACATGATCACAAACATTATGTCACAGCTATTTTAACATGACCACAGATACATGTTATATAATGGCTTTGAACAGATTTTTAAAATAATAAATGTACAAATAAATATACACCTTAAGCACACTAAAATCCACCCGGGACCTTGCCCCCTACTGCCCCCCTAAACTGGCCACACACACTGTCCCAAAAAGTTAATGGTCTACATTTAATAGGTCCCTAAATATGCCTTAAGCAGTCATATGCATAATGATAGACCTATTGTTTTTCCGTCATGCGTTTTGGGGGGCATGGCCCCCTGGCCTACTCTGGACCCGCCACTGCTTTGCCTCATTATCTGACATTAAAGTTCAAGTGTTGCCGATTTTGTTTTCATCTGACCAGCCATTGTATGGTCTACACAGTGATATAATATCTCAGACCACTAAAGATCATATGTAGGATAACAGAAAAATCTGATCGTGTGACCTGGTCTTTTGAGAATGAAATACAAATATAATTCTGATTGAACAGTAAGTTCTAAAGATAATCCTAGTGGGGTCCAGAGATTACGATTTTTTCAATTATCAATAAATTTGATCTAACTGAACCAGTCTACACACAAGCAGCAATACAGTGGTAACTGTAGTTGTAAATGCAATCACAAGAGTTGAGACGATTGTTGCGAGCAAACAGACTGCTTTCACCCATGAACAAGGACAATTTAACTCATATAATATTATAAATATGGTTATATGGAAACCGCATTTTTTATGACAAGTCACAACTAAAGAAACAATATTTTAGAGCTACTGTGACCATTAATACATTAATGATACCACACTGGACGCAGATACGACATTCAGTTGTTATCATTGCCAACTAAATTAGTTCTGAGTTCAAAATGCAATATGAGCGAACTCATTTTTTTTAATTAATTAACGAGGCAGAGTTAAAAATAAACAAACAAACAAACAAACAAACAAACAAACAAACAAACAAACAAATAAATAAATAAATAACTTAAATTAATTAATTAATTAATTACAAAACAATAACAAAATTGAAAAGGACTCAAATTACAAAGTTTTATTTTTACATTACATTACAAATTACAAGATTCACTTGCAATTAAACACACGAAAATACATTTACAATATAACTAAAATAATATATCCATCATTTTTTTAAAGCAGTGTGTCGTATTGATATATGTACTGCGAAGAATCATTTTAGAAATAAATTTACTATGCACTGACAAGTTATTGAAATAATAACTCCATATTTATTATACTTTGGACGTGACATAATTAAACGAGATTCATTTTCATTTTCTCCTGTATTACATAGATCACACAATTTTTCGTTTCAATTGGTGTTTTTGTTTTCGCGGTGTGCCAGCCAGATTCAATTTATAAATTGTGATTCTCTGATCGAAGTTTTGCTTAGCTGTTCACGCAGTTCATGATACCCCAGGTGCTGGAAGTTGTAATGTAGCATTATCCTACCGGGCGGTACATTATCCTACCGGGCGGTACATTATCCTACCGGGCGGTACATTATCCTACCGGGCGGGCGGAACATTACAACCTCCAGCGCCTGGGGTACGCAGTTCAATATTCAATGTCTGTATAGTGTTTTTCGAATTCTAATATCCCTTTCAAAGAATTTTTTAGATGTTCTTAATCCATTTTCATGTGGAGTGATTGTTGTCGCTGTAAGTGTATATTCTGTCCGATGTGACATAAAAGATTCTTCAATATGAACTTTTAGTCC